GACATGATTGCCTGTAATTGGAGATCTGTTTGTAGAAGGTCAAGGTAAAGGCCTTACAATAACCAGAACCTGGCTAAAAAAGCCTGGCAAGCACTCAAAGAGTTGTCTTGCTGCTGGAAACACAGCCTTTGAGCTGAAGCATAAGCAGCTGTGAAGCATGGTTTTCTTATTTTTCTACAAGTGTTGTAAAACCTAGTATCTACTTCCACTGATCTTAAAATAAAATAATAATGGTACATGCTGAGTGGCCTCATGCTGTTAAACCACTGATATTTGATCCTGTGTCAGTCACAGGAACAGAGAAAGGAGGGTTACTGATCCACTGTTTGGTACTTAGTGGTCTGCTACAAGACTGGGGGACTCAAGAGTAGAAATAAACACAGGCTGTTTTACTAAGTTGAAGCACCAAGACAAATACTCGAGAAAACCCATTAAGAGCAATTGACCCATCGGCTCGGTGTTCTGCAAAAAGTGAGGAGAGCACATGTTGAGAGTCTCAAGTGCTGCACAGAGTGAACTATCACATGAAGAAAGTGTTATGTGTACATGGATTCTATAATTAAAGGACTCTGATGAAATAACTGTTACAGTCTGACTGTGAATGGTATTTTTGACCTATTAATGCAGGTGGTGATCACAGTTCTTGCAATTCATACTCTTATATCATCTAAATATGCACAAGTGAATCCTTGATGATTAGATCAGATGAATTGATTACTGAATATCTTGTCTGCCATCATAGCTTCTTAGGTCAAAGAAAACAGTAATGTTTTTCTGTTGAGGAGTAGGTTATTAACTGTTGGTTTTTTTCTAAAATCAAATTAAAACCAGGTAATTGGATAGCATAAAACTTCTTGTTGTTCTTCTGTTGTCTTCTCTGTTGCATTGCAGATGATTTGCTGAATTTAGACTCACATTGATAGATCTATATAGTATTCACCAAATATGGGCCTCTTTAAATAGAAGATTTCAGTCTAATTGTACACTTTACTGGTGACAAATGTTGCTAAGACTCTACATAAGCAAACATTACTGAAAAAGGAGGAAACTGCAATTTACAGCCCTGAAGGCTTCAAGTAAAGCCTTCTTTGTCAGGATATTCAAATTCCAGGCACAAAAATGCTACATTTGGAAGTGTTGCTGTAAGATTGTCTTAAAATAGCCAATAAATGTTGGTTTAGTTCATAATATTTGGGGAAATTTTCTTCAGAGTTTAATTGTGAGAGATCAGCCTTCAATTTGAAAATAAAAACCTAGGCATTTAAACTCAGGAAAATTTCTACTGAAAAGAGAAAAGTAAAATATAAGCATTTTAAAGTTGGAATAATGTTGGCTACATGACAGGTAGCATCTGTTTTCTGGAGATAGGACTCAATTTAGAACTTAAGTAAGTTGATTATGGAATGTTTTGAGGATTTTTATTTGCTGCTTCCTTTATAGACAAGTTGATTTGCATTTTCTTGATACTACTAAGATGTATGTCTGATCTTGAGGTAAGAATAAGAATCTCGAATTAATTCAACACTTCTGGGAAACCCTGGCTAGTAAATATTACGAAGTTTGACATTATTATTGTCCTGGCTTCTGAAAGGCTGGACTTCTCTGTGAGATTTCACTGTTGTTAGTTTTGTTTCAGAAGAAATGTGAATTTAGTTTCTTGGCTTTTTTCCCAGAGGCTTTGTGGAACTGAGTAGCTTTTGGGCACACAAAGCTGACTTGCTTGGATGTGGGTTTTTTTCTTTTTTTTTTTTTTTTTTTTTTTTTTTTTTTTTTTTTTTTTTTTTTTTTTTTTTTTTTTTTTTTTTTTTTTTTTTTTTTTTTTTTTTTTTTTTTTTTTTTTTTTTTTTTTTTTTTTT